CTTTTGGAGCCCCGGTTCTAAGTTGTAAAGCATGCCGCACTGAACGAGGGAGTAATCATCAGCACGTGACTGCCAAGCGTTCATAACGTCTTGGTTCTCTGGGATGGGTGCTTCACCTAGCGGTTCATCTAGGACATATGCTTTCTTGGCAGCTATGAGGATGATCCTCAGAGTCCGAATAGTTGCTGCCATCATCTTTCAGCTTGGTTTTCTCTAGGAACGCGTTGAAGTTCATGTTGACATGAGCGTTGGCCATTTGATCTACAAGACATATTTTGCAAAGATTTTAGACTAAGTTCATGATAATTAAGTTCATCTAATGAAATTATTGAATGAACTCCCACTCATATTAGACATCCCTCTAGTCATCTAAGTGTTACACGATCCGAGTCGACTAGGCCGTGTCTGATCATCACGTGAGATGGACTAGTCATCATCGATGAACATCTCCATGTTGATCGTATCTTCCATACGACTCATGTTTGACCTTTCGGTCTCTGTGTTCCGAGGCCATGTCTGTACATGCTAGGCTCGTCAAGTTAACCCTAAGTGTTCTAGATGTGTAAATCTGTCTTACACCCATTGTATGTGAACGTAACGATCTATCACACTCGATCATCACGTGGTGCTTCGAAACGACGAACTTTAGCAACAGTGCACAGTTAGGGGGAACACTTTCTTGAAATTGTTATAAGGGATCATCTTATTTACTACCGCCGTTCTAAGTAAACAAGATGCATAAAACATAATAAACATCACATGCAATTTTATAAAGTAGTGACATGATATGGCCAATATCATATAGCTCCTTCGATCTCCATCTTCGGGGCTCAATGATCATCTTCGTCACCGGCATGACACCATGATCTCCATCATTGTGTCTTCATGAAGTTGTCACGCCAACGACTACTTCTACTTCTATGGCTAACGCGTTTAGCAATAAAGTAAAGTAATTTACATGGTGTTCTTCAATGACACGCAGGTCATACAAAAATAAAGACAACTCCGATGGCTCCTGCCGGTTGTCATACTCATCGACATGCAAGTCATGATTCCTATTACAAGAACATGATCTCATACATCACAATATATCATTCATCATTCATCACAACTTCTGGCCATATCACATCACATGACAATTGCTGCAAAAACAAGTTAGATGTCCTCTAATTGTTTTTGCATCTTTTACGTGGCTGCAATTGGGTTCTAGCAAGAACGTTTTCTTACCTACGAATAACCACAACGTGATTTTGTCAACTTATATTTACCCTTCATAAGGACCCTTTTCGTCGAATCCGCTCCAACTAAAGTAGGAGAGACAGACACCCGCTAGCCACCTTATGCATCAAGTGCATGTCAGTCGGTGGAACCTGTCTCACGTAAGCGTACGTGTAAGGTCGGTCCGGGCCGCTTCATCCCACAATACCGCTGAAGCAAGAAAATACTAGTAGAGGCAAGCAAGTTGACAAGATCTACGCCCACAACAATTTTGTGTTCTACTCGTGCAATAAAGAACTACGCATAGACCAGCTCATGATGCCACTGTTGGGGAACATTGCAGAAAATAAAAAAATTCCTACGGTTTCACCAAGATCCATCTATGAGTTCATCTAAGCAACGAGTGATAGGAGTGCATCTACATACCTTTGTAGATCGCGAGCAGAAGCTTTCAAGAGAAAGGGGATGATGGAGTCGTACTCGCCGTGATCCAAATCACCGATGACCAAGTGCTGAACGGACAACACCTCCGCGTTCAACACATGTACGGAGAGGATGACGTCTCCTCCTTCTTGATCCAGCAAGGGGGAAGGAGAGGTTGAGGAAGAAGACTCCAGCAGCAGCACGACGGCGTGGTGGTGGTGGAGAGGCAGTACTCCGACAGGGCTTCGCCAAGCACTTAACGGAGGAGGAGAGGTGTTGGGGAGGGGAGGGGCTGCGCCTTGGATCAGGTGTTCAGCCCTCCCCTCGCCCCTCTATTTATAGGGGAAGGGGGAAGGGGTCGGCCCCCTCTAGATGAGATCTAGAGGGGGGCGGCGGCCAGGGAGGGGGCTTGCCCCCAAACAAAGGGGGCGCCCCCTTTAGGGCCCCCCCCCAACCCTAGGCGCAAGGGACCAAGGGGGGCGCCCAGCCCTCCAGGGGCTGGTTCCCTTCCCCTTACAGCCCATGAGGCCCACCGAGAGAGGTGGCCCCTCCCGGTGGACCCCCGGAACCCCTCCGATGGCCTCGGTACAATGCCAATATGCCCCAGAAACTTTCCGGTGACCGTATGACAACTTCCCATATATAAATCTTCACCTTCGAACCATTCCGGAACTCCTCGTGACGTCCGGGATCTCATACGGGACTCCGAACAACATTCAGTAATCACATACAAGTCTTCCTAATAACCCTAGCGTCACCGAACCTTAAGTGTGTAGACCCTACGGGTTCGGGAGACACGCAGACATGACCGAGACGGCTCTCCGGTCAATAACCAACAGCGGGATCTGGATACCCATGTTGGCTCCCACATGCTCCTCGATGATTTCATCAGATGAACCACGATGTCGAGGATTCAATCAACCCCGTATACAATTCCCTTTGTCAAACGGTACGTTACTTGCCTGAGACTCGATCGTCGGTATCCCAATACCTCGTTCAGTCTCGTTACCGGCAAGTCACTTTACTCGTACTGTAATGCATGATCCCATGACCAAGCACTTGGTCACTTTGAGCTCATTATGATGATGCATTACCGAGTGGGCCCAGAGATACCTCTTCATCATACAGAGTGACAAATCCCAGTCTCGATCCGTGTCAACCCAACAGACACTTTCCGAGATACCTGTAGTGCACCTTTATAGTCACCCAGTTACGTTGTGACGTTTGGTACACCCAAAGCACTCCTATGGTATCCGGGAGTTACACGATCTCATGGTCTAAGGAAAAGATACTTGACATTGAAAAAGCTCTAGCAAAATGAACTACACGATCTTGTGCTATGCTTAGGATTGGGTCTTGTCCATCACATCATTCTCCTAATGATGTGATCCCGTTATCAACGACATCTAATGTCCATAGTCAGGAAAGCATGACTATCTGTTGATCAACGAGCTAGTCAACTAGAGGCTTACTAGGGACATATTATGGTCTATGTATTCACACGTGTATTACGATTTCCGGATAATACAATTATAGCATGAATAAAGACAATTATCATGAACAAGGAAATATAATAATAATCCTTTTATTATTGCCTCTAGGGCATATTTCCAACACAGGGGGGCGCACCAGCCCACCAGGGGCTGGTTCCCCTCCCACTTCAGCCCACGGGGCCCTCCAGGATAGGTGGCCCCACCCGGTGGACCCCCGGGACCCTTCCGGTGGTCCCGGTACATACTGGTGACCCCCGAAACTTTCCCGGTGGCCGAAACTGCACTTCCTATATATAATTCTTTACCTCCGGACCATGCCGGAACTCCTCGTGACGTCCGGGATTACATCTGGGACTCCGAACAACTTTCAGTTTGCTGCATACTCATATTCATACAACCCTAGCGTTACCGAACCTTAAGTGTGTAGACCCTACGGGTTCGGGAGACACGCAGACATGACCGAGACTGTTCTCCGGTCAATAACCAACAGCGGGATCTGGATACCCATGTTGGCTCCCAGATGCTCCTTGATGATCTCATTGGATGAACCACGATGTCGAGGATTCAATCAACCCCGTATACAATTCCCTTTGTCAATCGGTACGTTACTTGTCCGAGACTCGATCGTCGGTATCCCAATACCTCGTTCAGTCTCGTTACCGGCAAGTCACTTTACTCGTACCGTAATGCATGATCCCGTGACCAGACACTTGGTCACTTTGAGCTCATTATGATGATGCATTACCGAGTGGGCCCAGAGATACCTCTCCGTCATACGGAGTGACAAATCCCAGTCTCGATCCGTGTCAACCCAACAGACACTTTCCGAGATACCTGTAGTGCACCTTTATAGTCACCCAGTTACGTTGTGATGTTTGGTACACCCAAAGCACTCCTACGGTATCCGGGAGTTGCACGATCTCATGGTCTAAGGAAAAGATACTTGACATTGGAAAAGCTCTAGCAAAACGAACTACACGATCTTGTGCTATGCTTAGGATTGGGTCTTGTCCATCATATCATTCTCCTAATGATGTGATCCCGTTAACAGCGACATCTAATGTCCATAGTCAGGAAACCATGACTATCTGTTGATCAACGAGCTAGTCAACTAGAGGCTTACTAGGGACATATTGTGGTCTATGTATTCACACGCGTATTACGATTTCCGGATAATACAATTATAGCATGAATAAAGACAATTATCATGAACAAGGAAATATAATAATAATCCTTTTATTATTGCCTCTAGGGCATATTTCCAACACTTTTCATCTTTTCTTCATGATTTTAGGACATTAGCCTGCCATGTTACCTAAGAAGAAGCAATTGTCGGGTGCTGAAAAAAGGAGGAAAATGAAAGAAAGTGATCTGAAAATTCTAGCACTGAAGGGTTCTTTGAATAACTACTTTACATCTTCAAGCAATGTTGATGTCAGTGAAGAACAAGGGCAAGAAACTACTTCTGAGCATGAAAATCCAGATGTTGAGGTGAATGAAGATGGTGCGAGCACAGGGGAGCAAATAAATTTTGAAGTTGATGCTGACAGTACAGTGGAGGAGGAAAATTTGCTGCCTTCCTCTAATGATGAATAGGAAGATTCCCTTTCATTTATTTTTGATCCAAGAACATGGGAAGTTCTTGACAATAGCAAAAGGGATATTTTAATTGAGAAGGGACCTATTAGAGTACCGGATTTGGAGTTCGATAAGGACACCATTGGTAGACACTTTTCATATGCTTTTTACTCCACGAAGTTAAGTAATGGTGAGTTTGCTGACAGAAAGTGGTTGGTTTACCACAAAGGTGCAAACGAAGTATATTGTTTTTGTTGCAAGTTGTTCAAATCAAAACTGAGCAAGTCTATGCTGGCATCTGATGGATTGAATGACTGGAAGCGTTTGAGTGCTCGTCTCAAAGATCATGAGAACAGTGTTGATCATTTAACAAACATGAATACATGGAATGAAGTTAGGTTGGGACTAAGCAAAAATCAGACAATTGATGATGATATGCAAAGGGGGATTGCAAAGGAGAAGGAGCGTTGGAGACAAGTTCTGATAAGAATAGTTTCAGCTGTGAAGTTTCTTGCAAAACATACTTTGGCTTTTCGTGGATCAAATGAGAAGTTGTATCAAGATAATAATGGTAATTTTTTGGGCACAATTGAAATGATTGCTGAATTTGATCCTGTTATGCAAGAACACATCCGGCGTATTCAAAATAGTGAAATCCATCATCACTATCTTGGCCACAAAATCCAGAACGAGTTGATCTCAGTTCTTGCTGATGCCGTGAGAAATGTAATTTTAAAGATCATCAAAGATGCCAAGTATTTTTCAGTTATTCTGGATTGTACCCCGGATGTGAGCCATGAAGAACAAATGACTCTCATTGTGCGTTGTGTCAATATGTCAAGCAACCTTCCGAGAGTAGATGAGTTTTTCCTAGAGTTCCTAAAGGTTGAGGACACATCGGGGTTGGGGCTTTTGAAATTATTGATGGATACATTGAGTTTTTTTGATCTGAATGTTGCTGATGTGAGAGGTCAAGGTTATGACAATGGTTCCAACATGAAAGGACAATACCAAGTTGTTCAGAGTCGCTTCCTTAAAGAAAACCCCAAAGCATTGTATATGCCATGTGCATGTCATAGTTTGAATCTCACTCTTTGTGATATGGCAAAATCTTGCAAACAGGCTATTACATTCTTTGGTATTATACAACGGATATACGTGTTGTTTTCACGTTCTACTAAAAGGTGGAAGATTTTACTTGATAATCTTCCAAAAGGAACAAAACTAACTCTCAATCCTTTGTCTAGTACTCGCTGGGAGAGTCGAATAAAGAGTGTGCAGCCTATCAGGTACCAAACTATCCATGTGATTTCAGCTTTGAAGGAATTGGAGGAGACTTCTACTGATGACCCAGCAGCTGTAAGTGATGCTCAATCTTTGGTCAGTGCACTTGAGAATTTTGAAACTTTAGTTGGCATGGTTATCTGGCATGATGTTTTTTCTCTGTAAATATGGTGAGCCAAAAGTTGCAGGAAAAGATGGTGTGCATTGATGCTACTATAAAACACATTGACGGGGTCATGTTATATTTTAAGAAGTATAGAGATGAAGGCTTTCAAGCTAGTATTGAGATAGCAAAATCCATTGCATCTGATATGGACATAGAGCCAGAATTTCCTTCAAAACGTCAACGGAAAAGAAAGAGGCATCATGATGAAATCAATGATCAAGAAGAAGAAATACAATTGTCAGCTATGGAGTCCTTCAGAGTTAATTACTTTCTAGTCATCGTTGACAATGCAATTCTTTCATTGACCAGCCGCTTTGATCAGTTGAAGAAATTTGAAAAGGTGTTTGGTTTATTATTCAATTCAAAAAATCTGAAGTCCTTGGATGATAGCAAACTACAGGAATGTTGCGCTACTTTTGCAAAAGCTTTTTCTGATGATAAATCATCTGATGTTGATCTTCATGATTTTGTCTCAGAGTTAAAAGTGTTGCAGGTAACTTTGCCAGATGGTTTGATGTCAGCGCTTGAGATTCTTCAGTTTGTTATGGTTGTAGATTGCTATCCAAATGTCTCTGTTGCCTATCAGATCCTCTTAACAGTGCCTGTGACTGTAGCCTCAACTGAAAGAAGTTTCTCTAAACTGAAACTACTGAAAAATTATTTGAGGTCAACTATGTTGCAAGATAGATTGAATGGCCTGGCTATGTGCTGCATTGAGAAGGATATCTTGGACAATGTTGATCTTGATTGTGCCCTTAATGACTTTGCATCAAGAGATGCCCGAAGAAACTTTTTTTGAAGCACTAAAGTATTATTATTGTCGATGGAGTCAGTCTAATTTCGTTCTTATTTGAGGTAATCATGTCATGTTAGTTTCATTTTGCGATCTTTTTAGTATCATTGTTTTTTATTGAGTCGGTTCGAATTTGATTATTATTGTTCTCGATGGAGTCATTTGAATTATTATAGTCATATTTTAAACTAAAGATGTGTGATTGAAAGTTACTTTTAATAAGTTATATATATAACACACGCATACATATATATTGTCTTAGGACTTAGGACATAGGGGCCCATGTCGTCGAGTTCGCCTAGGGCCTCCCGAAACACAAGGCCGGCCCTCAACATCCTAAGAATACTCCAAAAAGAAAGCTAATAACTTTTTTTCTTTAAAAAACACACATGAAAACAGAAAACAGGGGGAAAAGAGTAAGAGAGGGTAGGGCTGGCCGTACAGGTAATGGGCTTTAGCCATCAAGGAATTGAATGACTCAAATTTATGGTCAGTCAAAAGAATCAGCCGAAAACAACTCAGAACAGCACACATCCAAAGGCGTAAAAAAAAAGCACGAACCTCAAAGCAGAAATTAACGGGCAAAAATTCGACTAATCCAAAATCAATCTCCATACGACTTACATATAGCTAAAATGATACTTCACTTCACTGGTCGATTGGAGCGTTGCGAGAAGAAGCTGTCGCACCATCGGGGTCCAAGCAAACGGCCAAACGGGCTGACACTGTAGATTGGGGTACTGTGAATAATATCCTTTAGATGAGTCACTGTAGCTCGGGGTATTGTTCACGCTGATCTGTTTGTTGACCCTCGATTGGACGGTGTGGAGAAGAGAGCCAGTCACGTTCACTGGTGACTTGCTCACAGCAAGTCACTGGATCTCAATCCGCCAAACGGAGGTAGTGAGAAACGGTTAACGAAAACATTGCATTGCATGCATGCATGAATGAATGAATCCAAAGTAAAAGACGGGGCGTCGTCGACTATTCGTCGTGGATACGAAATCATGCAAGAGTTGCGTGTTGGGAAGCAAAAGCGAAAGCGAAGCGTCCCGTCGAGTCATCGGGCACGCGAGGCCGCGAGGCGACAGCAGCGCCTTTCTGGGCCAGCCCGGCCGGCCGGCCGATCGAGCGCAAAGCTTCGCGACCGGCCTCGGATCCCTCTCACTGGCCGCTGCTGCCACGATTAGTCCTGGCCATATCAGGCCCGGCCCTGTCGGCCCACCTAGGCCCGGTCCTAAAATCCAGGGCCTAGGCCTGATGGGCTTGCCCGTGGGCCGGGCTTGGGCCAGAGTTTTGAGCCCACCAGCAGGGCCTGGATGGGCTTGGGCTTGACATATTGACATTTTAAGGAAGAGGCCGGCCCACGGTCCTAAGCCCTAAAGGCTTTTCAGGGCTTTTTACCAGATGGGTCGGGCTTGGGCTTGAAAAGTAGGCTCGATGGTAGGGTCTGGGAGGGCCCGGGCCTCAGTTTTTTTCCATGGGCTTTTCAGGCCCGGCCCAGCCCGGCCCATGGCCAGATATAGCCACGGTCGTCGTCTTCCCGATCTGTTCTCATCCCCGAAGAGGTCACGCACCTTCGAATCCAATCGGTTTGTGGGCGATAGCGTACGTGACGACGCAAAAGGACAAGCGAAACGAAAGCCTACGATGTTTACCGGGCTACATTCATTCCTTTTCCTGTTCCGTGTCACGTCGCGTCACGGCTTTTTCGCTGGTAATAGCATGATGATGGATCGATAGTGTTTTACCGTGGACTACAGTCCACAGAACTGGTTATTACGTGGATACTCTCTGAAGTCAAGAGTGGAGATTGCATGGTACGGTGTTTCGGGGAGATGTGACAATGAAGGAATTCCTGAGCATTAATTCGATCTCAGCGAACCAGATTTCAAGTCTCAGACTTAATACTGGTACTCGCATTTTCTTTGCTATATGCGTTTAGTGAGACAAGACGTCTCATCGACTATGAAGATGTATGTGGCGACTTCGTCAATTTCAAAATGATGTGACGACTCAGTCTCTTGCAGGTGCTCATATAGTTAAAAAAAATCGATCTCCAACAACAATACGTGTGACACATGACACTCTTTCTACATCATACCATGGGATTTTAATTAATTTTGCAGGATTTGTCACATGTTTGGCGCCGGCTAGGAGAAACGGCGCCCACGCGCCCGCCTTATGGGCCGGCCCAATTACATGCTGACCAGGTCGCTCGTCCAGGAACTGTTTCTGGCTCGCTTGGATGACTGGCCAACGGTTGGTCAGTTGATCGGTCAATCGTTGACTTTTGTGAAAAAAGAAAAAAAATTGAAAAACTTCATGCCTTTGAAAAAAGTTCTCAAAATAATAAAAGTTCGTGAATTTTGAGAAAAGATCATCGATTTTGTAAAAAGTTCATCAATTTTTTAAAAATACATTATATTTTTAAAAAATCACAAATTTAGAAAAGTCCTTTGATTTTTTTAAAGAAGTTCCCAATATTTGATAAAAATGTTCATTGATTTCTAAGAAAAACTTTGCGCATTTAAGAGAAGGAAAATAAGACAAAAAATAAAAATAAAAAGGAAATAAAAACAGGAAACAGCTGCGTTTTTGCATTTTAATAATACAAAAAAGGATATGTGTTCCAGTTGGTTAGTGCCAAGATGCAAAATACACTATAATGGATGCTTAAGGCTCCCAATAGAAGTTGGGAACGATGGCCTCATGTTAGTGAACTCACCATGTAAAATGGGAGCTCCTAATTGGTGCTTCAGGCGCCAGAGAAGCTCCCTTAACGCCCACGCGCCGGTGCTGGCGGGTCAGCCCATGTACACGATCGCATTTGAGAAAAAAAACAGAAAAAAAAAATCAAAAAATCGTGAATTAAAAAAATTCATGGATTTAAAAGCAACCGGGGAACTAAAAAACAAAAAAAACCTTGAATTCAAAAAAGTTCATGTATTTTGAAAAATTAATTCATCAATTTGAAAATTTCATCGATTTTGAAAAAAAGGTTCATTGATTTTGGAAAAAAAGTTCACCATTTTTAAAAAAGTTCATTGAATTTAGAAAAGTGCATCAATTTGAATTTTTTTAATCAAACTTGCAGAACTTTTTGTAAAACTCATCAATTTCAAGGAAAGTTCATCCATTTTTTAAAAGTTCATCAATTGTTTAAAAAGTTCACAAATTTGAAAAACTTCATCGATTCAAAAACTTCACCTATTTTGAAAGTTCACGAAGATTAATTAAATATAAAAGAAAAAAGAAAAAGGGACGAAAAGAAAAAAGGAAAGGAAAGAAAGGAGAAAATGTAGAAAAGAGAGAAGTTGGCAGAAGCAAGCGTTGTAGTTGGGCGGTTTGTGCAGTTTATCGGGAACAAGAGATCCCTGGTTCGACTCTCCACGTGTGTGTCAGTTCTTTTAGATAGAAAAGAAAAATAGCTAAATGGATCAGCCCAGCTTAGAGGGCTTCACGCGCCCATTTGTAAAACACACAGTAATGGGCGCATGAAGCGCCAAATAGGAAGAGCCATGAAAAATTCTCCCGATGACAACGATGACCGTGTTGGCGAAATTAAGTACTATTCCCCTCCTTGCACTGCCTTGTCGTTAACGGGCTGGAGCAAGCCCCTCTATTAGGCCTGCACGCTGCAAGTCCGGCCTCATTTACGCTTTGTTTCGATTGTAGGAATTTCAAAAGGTTTTGTACCGTTTTAATCGTTTTGAGATTTTTCCTATGGATTGTGTTTGAACTGAATGGACTAATTCATATACCACTACTCCATAGATATTAAAATACCATTCCCATTTATAAAGACTCGATCGCGTAGGATCGGCTCATTTTTCATTTGATCCATCAAAAACACTATTCCTATCTCTTGCTCTTTGTTTTGTAATTGTCTATCTTACACGTTCAACCCTGTCAAATTCCTATACTTTTTATATTCAGGTATTTCCCAATCTTGCAATCCAAAGAGGCCCTTAATTTAGGGCACAACCAGTGAGCAAATCCTCTAGCTAGTCCTGGCCATCTCAGGCCCGGCCCTGTCGGCCCACCCAGGCCCGATCCTAAAATCCAGGGCCTAGGCCCGATGGGCTTGCCCATGGGCCGGGCTTGGGCCTGAGTTTTGAGCCCACCAGCAGGGCCTGGATGGGCTTGGGCTTGGCATATTGACATTTTAAGGAAGAGGCCCGGCCCACGGTCCTAAGCCCTAAGGGCTTTTCAGGGCTTTTTACCAGATGGGTCGGGCTTGGGCTTGAAAAGTAGGCCCGATGGTAGGGCCTGGGAGGGCCCGGGCCTCAGTTTTCTGCCATGGGCTTTTTCAGGCCCGGCCCAAGCCCGGCCCGGCCCGGCCCATGGCCAGATATACCTCTAGCCCTAGATTTACGATATGAAGAACTAATATATTTCCCTTACGCGCACATTGTATCTATTCCATGCATAACAATGCTTATATACTTGCATCTTTGGCTTCTTCTCTACCAGGCTCCTATGGACTTGTTGTTGGAAATATGCCCTAGAGGCAATGATAAAGTGGTTATTATTATATTTTATTAATCACGATAAAGGTGTATTATTCATGTTATAATTGTATAGATCGGAAACTTAAATACATGTATCTATACCTACTATTAAAGGGAGGTAATATTCTTGGTTTGGATCCGCTTAGTTCGTCCCGTTATGAGTTTTTTTTTATTAATTGATGTTATGTTTTTGGTTTGGTTCAGTTTGACGAACATAGGAAACCATTGGACATATGTGTGTAAAGGAAACTAAAAATAAGCGAAGCTGGCCCCCCGGCCCATACGTGTAAAGGAAAGCAAAAATAATCAAAGCTCGCCGGCCCATATTTCTAATTTTTGGTTGCCAAAACGAAAGAGCTTTCGGCCCAGTTGTCGAAGCTTACTCTCGGTCGAGGAGAGGACACACGGCCTATTGCGTGCATACGCCGCCGTCGCTCGCTCCCTTTTCTCCAGCGTCGTATCTATTTTGGATCGAATCCGGGTAGGAGAACT